ATGATTCCTTACCTCAAATTTGAAAAGTTCACCACTTCGAACATTGTTATCAGCAGTACCACCAAAAACATACATTGCACCATTGATTTCAACTGCTGCATGAAACAATCTTCCTGTTGGTAACTACAACAAAACAATTTGTAGTTAAAAGAGATTAGTGATATGCCCCTCTCTTACAGACAATTGAGTTTTTCATACACAAGTTTACTAATATATAATTAACGCAAAATATGAAGATTACTTGGCTGTCAGCAGTAGGCTGAATGACTTCCCAGCTGTGTTGATCAATATCAAACCTTTTAAGAAGGAAAAAAAACAATAACTAATACGTCAATAGATCTGATATATCTTTTAATATTTCTAAGTCACACAAACCTGTACAAATCAGTTGATAAAATATTCTCTGCAGCGCCACCAAACATGTACAAGTGACGATCAAATGCTACCATACTATGACCATAGCGGCGTTGTGGTGGAGGTGACGAACCACGTAGCAAGTGAGCTGATGGGATTAAATTCCACCTTGAACAATAAGTTATTAATAAGAATGTTTATCTAGAGATATATTTTCACATTCTATTTTCAAAGTCTTTCTCAACATGTAATGTTCAAAAATGCAGAGCSCTTTTGAAAGAGTGAATAAAAAACATTAATTAACTTTTTTATTGTGAAAGTAAAGACATCTACATCCATCTATACAATAACAAGTAAATTAAAAATTCCTTTGCCTCTGATCTTTAAAGCTAAACTGGAACATATTATTGGTTATCTTTGCTCCACTTTGTCCAGAAAACACAAACATGCTGTCCTTGGCAATGACAACTGGGAAATTACAACAAGTTGGAGGACAGTCACCAGCTTGTTGGATCTGGAAATTTTAATAAAATCATAAATCAGCTGTTAACTAAATGACTGAGGTTGAAAACTTTTTTTTTGGTCGTTTTACCTCTTCCCAAAATGGATTAGAGTCTGTTAGCTTGATAGTCCACATATCATTCAGCCTAGAGGAAATGAAAACATCATTGAAATGGTCTYCCTTTTCTAATTTAGTTGATTAATATTTGATGGACCAATAACTTGGATATTAACACTAATCTTAATAGGTCAATTCAAACCTTTTATTTCCATCATATCCTGCAAAGATCCATAATCGATCCTTGTAAATTGCTGCTCCATGGGCTGATCTTGCTGGAGGCAATCTGGTAAATTGAAAAGTGAAACTCACCATTATATGCCAGTGGTCATTGTCACATGTGACATGGTYTTACACTCAAGTAAGCAAGGATATTGTTTTTCTATTACCTTCCTTCTACAGTCCATTCAACCCACTGGCCAGCATTGAATCTGTACTCAAAAAGGTCATTCTTATTTTGTAGGTTAGTATTGGAGTACAAGTCACCTAAACAAGAATAGCAAAAATACATTATTTATAGATAAACAAATTATAATTGAGGAAGTAGCTAATCCCATTAAAGAGTACTCAATACACATATAGCGTAGAGTTAATTATAATAAAAATAACGACACACTCGTCAATCATGATTGGATAACTGTCTGATGAGTGCGTAAGCACAAAACTCAGAGTAACAGCAAATCTTGTGTCTTTGTTATTATAAATATTTAATTAGCTCTACACTATATGTGTATTGAGCACTTTTTAATGGGATCAGGAACTTCCTCATATGATTAGATAAACAAGTTATAATTGTAGTAAATATGTGATTTTAAAATGAAAAAAAACTATTATTGTTGTTGCACAAAATGAGCCTTTTGTTCATACAACAATTGCTTACCTGTAAATCCACCAAATATTAGCATAGTGTCTTCAAATATTACAGCAGAGTGATGATATCTRGGTGCTGGGGGACTGCCTTTGGTAATTGCCCTACAAGTCCAATGATAGACCTATAAATTAATAATCTTAAGACAGACGCAAACCATAACTAGCTACATCTTCAGTGTAGAGCACCCGTATAAGTAAATGCTTTATATGATCTTGCAATTATAATGGCAATGAATGGTAGCTATCTGAATAGCTTCTGCATCCCAGATACAAGATATTGTGAGGAAAATTGTGATAGCAGACTTGGTTGTTATTGATAAATATGAATTAGACTGATTTCATAAGTCATAGTATTTGCTCTTTGATTTTTCAGTAAGCGGGAAAAAAATCTACAGAGAGAACTGGCTACTTACGGAATCAGCCTAAAATATGAATATGATGATGAGAAAAATAATGTAATGAAATAAGTCAACTGCGCAGGCATGCATACTACTCCTAAGTTGCATCACTGCCATTTTCATTCCCAGGACGTTAATCCCAACATGAGAATGCTGCAAGACTTACCTACTCCAAGACCCCTCCTTAATGTCAAATCTCAGCATATCATTCAGCATTCTCTTCCTAAAAATCCATAATATAACAATGCATAGGAAATGAAACTTAATGGGAAGAATGCAAAGTAATGTCTCTACAGCTTACCCATTGTCACCTCCAAACACGTACAGTGCATCACTCCAGGCTACCAATGTGTGCTTACTCCTCCTGAAATACAGAAATATCAAAACTAAAACTTTTGACAGTCACCTCCAAACACGTACAGTGCATCACTCCAGGCTACCAATGTGTGCTTACTCCTCCTGAAATACAGAAATATCCATATATCATAGGAATTGTGATGGAAATTTTTCCTTGTAGAGAGCACAGGAAGCCCAAACAAAATACTTCATCAAAGTCGAGCTAATCATTCATAATACTTTCTTGATTTTTAGGTGAGATTTCACYACAAGAAAATATCTCTTACCTTGCTCCAACAAACTCATCACAGTCAGGCAGTTTCTTCCATTGGTGAACCGTCTCAAAAGGGCCAAAATCTAACGTCAAAGTGTCAATCAACTCGGCTGAGGCTTCTATCTCAAGAGGAGGGCGGCCGCGGTTCGTCTTCGAACGACCTGTGTTGTTAGAAGCCTGCATCTGGTCGATAAGAGTGTAAACCTGTCTTAAGAGATATCCATTTTCTACATAWAAGAGACACTTTATGCCGATAAAAGTAAAAAAATACAAGATTTAAGTTATAAGCCTGTCAAAATGACAACTTTGTTTTTGCTAATTCACAGATCGAGAGAGAATGGGCTTCTACATATAAKAACGTTTTTGATTGGTCTGATTACTTCACAGTTAACCAATCCAAACAGCTGTTACTTTTTTAGCGCGCCATGTTGATTTTTACACAGCGGACAGCGTGTTTGGAACGAATTTCAAGATGTCGAAGAGAAAAGTTCGTTTCACTGAAGAAGACGAGAATTTGAGGGAAGAGCAAGAGTCGTCGAGGCGTTTTAAAGTTAAGCATTCCCTAGATAGCGACGAAGAAGAAGAGGYCGACAAGGAAGATAGTAAAGCGTATAATATTCTTACAGAAGATGATGTTGAAGGTCAAGAAGAGGATACGATCGATCACGATGGAGAAATTAAAATCACACCTTTTAACCTTAGAGAAGAGATGGAAGATGGTTATTTTGATTCTGAAGGGAACTACTTTGAACGGAAAGACAAGGAGATCCGTGATGACTGGCTAGACTCCGTGGACTGGGTTAAAGTAAAAGAGCTCCAAAAGGGCAAAGATGACAGCATGGGAGAGTCGTCAGACCAGTTCGAAGACGCAAATGAAATAAATACTTCAGAGTATTTGGAGCAAATCGTAGCTTTACTAAAGCCTCGGGAAACCATTCTATCTGCTCTAAGGCGACTCGGTGGGAAGCCTTCATCAGCTAGTGACAGATTAAAAGCTAAGAAAAAGAAAACCGATGATAATGATGAGCAAAWCATCGAAAAAAATAAAGAAAACTTGTTAAAGTTGACTGAACTTGCTGACGGACTGTTGAATTCAGGAGAATTTGACATTTACCAAGCAACATATGAGAAACTTCAGTACAGACTGAAAGCATTAGCAGASCAGCCTGTTGATGATGATGATGCTTTAGAAGCGGCATACAATTCCAAAYGTGATGCTGAAGAGAAAAAATCAGCAACCGCCAGCACAGCTATTGATAGTGAAGTGTACTGGCAGTACAAGTGGGATAATGAAAAAAATTCTGAATTGTATGGACCATTTTCATCCTCAGAAATGCTTGACTGGACAAATCAGGGATATTTCAAAGATGGTGTGCTTGTCCGTAAACTTGTCAATAAGTGCACTGAAGGAGAAGGACAGTTTTATAACTCCAAAAGAATAGATTTTGAGCTTTATACTTGAAACTYGCTGGCATTGTACTATATAATACTACAAACTACATGCTAAATTAACTACAAATATCTTTGTATTATTACTCCCTAACTCTAACTCACTGCTGTAAAGTATAACAGTCCTTTTTCTGATATAATCTCTATAATAAGTTATGACAGGGTGGAAAAGTGCCATTTTTAAGGAAAATTAGAGTGAATGCAATTAATCAGTTAAAAAGTGTACTTACAAATTTATTAAATAGACCTTTTTACTAATACGACTGCCATCTTGAATTTTAAAGAAATTATGGGGTGTTCAGGGGGYAAAGCACACATTYTCATGCTGGTAGGATAGAATAGRATTGAAATATTTTTTTCACTAATAATTTTGTGCTTCAAAACTTAAATTCTTCTAAACATTTTAAATGTATTGTTTATCACATTTGAAGATATGATATGAACCTCAGAATTTTAAAAAGCCCTAGATTCTATGAATAGTTTCTTACTGAATCAACACTTAAAGCAATAAAATTCAAGATGGTGGCCGTATTACTAAAAAGGTCTATTTTGTACATCTTAGTTAAGGTATTTAGAAAGAACAAGGGATGGACAAGGATGCTTTGCTTTAGTTGCAGAATAGAGTATTTGRTGTTGTCGTTGTGGCTAGTGCCTAATGTCTCAAGCGACTTTACTTTGGCTTTGAAGACCTTGCTAATGAAGTTTCAATCTTACAATATGCTAATGACAATGACATCAAAGAAGGCTTTATTAGATATACAAACTTTGAAATAGTTGTGAAAATGGCTTCATGGCATCAGATTTATTGTAGGCAATGTATGTAATACTCCTTTAAAGTTCGTACATCTAATGAAGCCTTCATTGACGTCATTTTCATTKGCATATTGTAAGATTGAGCCTCATGACTCTAAGATGCACTGAAATAGAGAAATATTTCACCATTTGATTATTTGGTAGAATCAGTTGACACAGAGTTAGAGAGAATCATAGCCATAGGCACTTAAAGACGAATTTCTTAAAACAWAACAAAACACAACTTGATAGTAGTAGGGAYTGGTTGTTAGGTTTGTAACGAGCTCTTTACAATWRTCTTTCTTGACTACTGAGACAAAATCCTTTGAAATAAAATAACGTAATTACTCAAATAAGCGCCTCCCCCAATTMAAAAGTGCCTCCCCCGAATAAGCGCCCCTGTAAAGGGGGGCGCTTATTTGAGGTTTTAGATAAAGGCAGATAATCAGCAGGGGAGGAAATAGACGGACCCCAAGCTCTGATGTCTACCCCTGTGCACTACTGTAACACGGTTATGACGTAGCGCGCAAAGTTTAGGATTTATATGTTGGGAGGGACAGGAAGCCCGGCTATGCCAATCGACTTCAAAGTAGATTAGCTTTGCAAAGATATTGCGATTAGTGAAATGATTATAACTGTGTAGAATATTGAAATTA